ATTAATCATCCTCTTTCCACTGACTACAAGTACATAACTGTCCGATCCAGGGATTGAACTCGCTACCACTATGTCAACAAATTCACAAACCAACGTTTTACCCACTGGGCCATTCTGGTATGTTACCGATATACACCTGATGAAGGCCAGAGGGCACAACGGACGAAACGTTGTAATAAAAACAGCAAAGATGCGGACACTAGTCTAAATATAAATAGGGTAAATAATAATATTTCAGTCAATATTACAGCAATATGGAGTTAGGCGAGGTATAGTTACTGGTAGTCAGCAGGATAAGAGTAAACATTGATGGCCTACCGAATACCTCAAATTCGCAATACAACACCCTGGGGATATTTTTTTTCTTTTAAACAATTTTTTTAAATCATTTTTTGAGGGTCGGGGTGGGAAGCGCTTCAGAATTTTATATGCTATCAAATACAGTTATGATTTCCTGAAGTCTTTGGAGAGTTCTCAGCGAAACCTTATCCGGAGGCAAAAGCAAGATTCCCTCCGAGATACAAATTAAACAAACCAACAAAAAACGGAATGCACACTGACTGAAACGCTCTTGCAAAAAATAAAATAAAAATAAAATAAAATAATAAAAAAATTAAATCAGTAAAAATGGAAAAGAACGAGCCCAAAAGATTTATGAAATAATTCTAACAAAAGAACGAATTCTGAGATGTCTTCTATGTGCCAAGTCTCTTTAGGATATGAGCGATCATCGCTCTCTAAAACTTCCTTCCCATCTTAGCTCTTAACAAAGTTTGTCTTTTTATCACTCCTTAGATCTTTTGTGTCATCTTTTTACACGAGCGTTTTAGGTACGTTAACAATAGCTTTCATCTGTCTTTCTTGCTTTCAGTACGTCATTTGAGTGCCAAATTTTCGAAGTCTTCTTTTCTTCTTATGCATTCCAGAATTTTCAAATGTTCCTTCCTGATTTGATGAGTAATTATCCTTTTAGTTTCTACTTTTAGTAAAGTTTCATCATTGCTTAAACGCACCTATATAACTACACATCTGTTGCCTCGTCTCGTCTTCACCTGTGAGGAAATTGTCCAGTATTCACTGCCACATAAGAGGATTGCTAATACATAGCAGTTCAGTGCTCTCTTTTTGTTTCTATTGCCTTAAGCCTCCTCTTCATCTGTGAGGAAATTGTCCAGTATTCACTTCCACATAGGAGGATTTTATTACATAGCAGTTCAGTACTCTCTTTTTGTTTCTAAAGAATGTTTCCTGTTTATAGTTACTTTCTATTTGTTTTTGAAAGCCATTTTCTGCTGTTCCAATGCGTCTTTCGATTTCAGAATTCCCATCATCTGTTAAATTACTTTTCAGATATTTAAACTAAATATAAATTATAAGACTATAATACTAAAACTAAATCAATATTTCCGATACCTTGCAGTCATATTCGCTTATGTAAAAAAGACCTCAGGAGCGATCCCTGATGGAAAAGGCGATATGGTGAACGCACATACTGCAACAGCTTCAAATAAAGCATAGTCCACTGACAAAAGAAGCGTAGTGACTATGACAATATCTGTAGTCGAAACCACGATGCCACTGACATCTGTAAGGGAGAAAACGTGACGGCTTCCTTTCTCCGCGTGAAAAAAAATATTAAGCTAAATTTAATAAGGTTATATGCGTTTTAGATAGTAAAATCGAATGGTATAATTGTCGGTTATATCGAGAAAAGAACATCTCTTTTGCCGGGGTTCCTTAAGCGTTAGTTGGTTTAGTCAAGTGTTAACCGTCAATTTATTCTGAAGTGTACGCCACGTCACGACTTCTACAGCTTATTCCATTTACAAGACAATTGTTTATAATAAAATTCTATTCAATCGGTAGACTCATAACGATTGAAAACAATGTTTTTGTTTGAGTTTGGGTTTGACCAATTCGTAAAAAAAAAAAAAAAAAACTTATTAAGACATGCCTTATAAATCTTTTCAGCTGATAAAAGTGTTCTTGACGCATGCGCTGTCGCTTTTACGGAGCCATCTTTGTGCTTATGCAAAATTATGGCATCGATACCGTAGTTACTAGCGTCGCTCGCCATGATTATTTCTAATTTTGAATCAAAACGCCACAGAAACAAATCCGACATTAGAACCTTTTCAATTATTTCGATTGCTTTTTAGTATTCGGTCATCCTGTTCCACTTGGAGTCTTTTTTTTAGTAAATTACTTAATGGTACTCGCAAAAAATGTACGTTCGGAATGAAATCTTTATAATAATTTGCGAAACTGAAAAATTCTTGTAAAGAAGACACATTTGTTGGGGAGGGCATATTTTTAATCGCACTTGCTCTGGTTGCGTCTGTTTTCCTTCCGTTTTCGTCAATGATTTGGCCTAAATATTTAATTTTCGTCATAAAAAATTCGAATTTCAAATCAATTAATTTAAACCTTTATTTGTTTATTTTTCTGAATACCCCATTTACATGATGAATATACTGCTTTTGATTTTCACTTTTTATTAAAATGTCATCTAAGTAGATGATCGAAAACTAGATTGCTCTTCTTTGTGTCCATTACCTTCTGAAAACCTCCAGTTGCTACCTTAATTCCGAAAGGTAATCTGTTAATTCTGTAAAACTTCCTGTGGATATCGATTGCTGATAGTTTTGACCATTTTTCGTCAAGGTGGATTTGCAAATATGCATCTGACAAGTCCAACTTTGAAAAGTATTTCCGCCATTTTACTTGACAAAAATGTCTTCTGAGATTGGCAGGAAGTAATTGTAAACTTGTAGGCAATCATCCAGCCCTGTGGAGAAATCGGTACATACACGGATTTTGTTATTTTTCTTTTTCTCTTAAACGGTCAAGGAGGCTAAATCGTTATAATCCACTTTGGAGGGTACTCCCATATTCTCCGAGTGATCTAACCCCTTATTTATTGTATCCAAAGCCACACCTCACTTTGGTCTGATAATTGGTACCACATTTTCCTTTAACTAGAACTTGGCGTTAGTTTTTGTGCATCTTGCTAACACTTAAGAAAAAACTGCCGGTAATTGATTTTGCAATTATTTTTTAGCCTTTCAGATTTACTAGAAGTGCCATCCACTTTATTACAAAAAGATTTTATGAGCAAATCCTATAAATTGAACAGTTGCATCCGAACAAGTTATAGGTTCTTTCCATCACGAAAGCTTTAGCCTTCACTGTTTTCCTAAAAAAAGATAAATCTAACGCAAACTTATCTTTAAATTTAAATTTCTGCCTAGTAACACCCGTGCAATGTTTTTTTGTTTTTTTTTTGGTAATGTTAATACAGTGTAACCCGGATATAAGAGAGATTTTCTCTGGTCCCAAAGTGTTCCCATACTTACCTAAACAAAACAGACCAAACCCGGATATAAGAGAAACCCGGATATAAGAGACGACTTCTCCGGTCCCGACAACTCTCTTATATCCGGGTTACACTGTATTGATTTACCGCGTCTTCCCCACGTTTCTTTGTCTGTATTAGTCAAATCTGACGCTGTGTCTCGTCGTAACTTGATATTTCTTCTATTGATTTTTACGGTTATAAATTTCCCACATTTCCACAGTCGAAACATTTTTTTATTCTTAAAAGGGCAGTTCTTCTTGAAATGTAGTTCACCACATCCGTGACATGGATTTGATTTTGTAAAGTATTTTGTTTTCCCATGTGTTTTGGGATGAACCTAATTTATGTACGATACATCTCTTTCCTCAATTCTAGCTGTATCGTGTCGTAAGTTCACTATTCTTTGACACACTTCAGTTACAGCTTGCAAGGTCAATTTTGAGTCCTGTTCAAAGCTTAGTCAAAGTTTGAGAACGGATTTCCGCATCCCTTTTTGCTGTCAACCCGTGTACGAAGATCAAGCACTTAAATATGTCTGGTGTTAATTCGCTTAACTTGAACTTTTTACATTCCCTGTTTGCAATACTAGCATAAGTGTTATAATCTTCATATTTCATATTTCATATTTTGAAGTGGTATAATCTTCATATTCTTTTTTTAAAGGTTAGACATTGCTAGCGTCTAGTGAAAAATGAACTTCGTTCACTGAAAATTTTACTTAACAACATAATAGTTTCTTTAAAGGACAATTCACTCGATTTTTTCGGCAGAATGTAATTCATGTATATTTCTTGTTTCGTGGGCCTTAACTTTCTTAGTAAAAGGCACTTTTTTTTTTCTTGTCCGACCAGCTTATAGTCTTTTGTAAAGATTTCCTCATTACGTCTGTAGTATACTACTAATATAACCTCTTCATCAGGGTTATATTTAAATTTGCCAATTGCATTTACTACTGAGTCCTGTGAAAAAAAAAGGCAGACATGTTTTCGTTGCTTTTACTCTTCATAAACAGTTCTAGTATGTTTTCTATTGTTCTTTTTGCCTCAAAATTGTTTCTTGCAATCACTGTTGATGTTCTTGTTGTCGTTCTTGATGTTGTTTTATTAATTATTGCTTTCAATTCCTCCATTTTTAATTGTTTGGCTTTTGCTTCCAATATAGATTTCAGATGTTTTAATGCTTCGTTGTTTCCGGTGTAAGCTTTTCTTTTTCGACGTACCGATTTCACAAGTTGAAAAAACAAAACAAAAAAAACGAATCTTTGTCCACCACTATCATAATAAAGATTGAATCAGTCATTGCCAACAGTTGTGATGTGGAGCCTGGCATGACGTAACACCTAACTCGACAGTCGCAGTAGTAGTATTCAATACTCAACTAGAGAAATCACAGCAATAGTATTATTTTTTTTCTTCCTAGACAATTACCCAGGACTACTTATCACAAAAGGATCAGTTTATTCATGATACTAAGGAGGGTAACTGGCTCTTATGACAACATATCCGGTTTTGAGGCTTACTTCCTTTAAAAGTTATACTAATTTTCGGAGCTATCTGGGGCATAAGTACATGGAAAACGTCATACAGAATCACCACCGCCCCCCCTTTTATCGAATGCTCCGTGGCTCTTACCACAACACTGTCTAAGATAGATAGATAGATAGATAGATAGATAGATAGATAGATAGATAGATAGATATGAACAGGCGGAAATAGATATGAACAGACTGAGATAGATAGATAGATAGATAGATAGATAGATAGATAGATAGATAGATAGATAGATAGATATGAACAGTCTGAGATAGATAGATAGATAGATAGATAGATAGATAGATAGATAGATGAGATAGATAGATAGATAGATAGATAGATAGATAGATAGATAGATAGATATGAACAGTCTGAGATAGATAGATAGATAGATAGATAGATAGATAGATAGATAGATGGAAGTGTCTGTGACAGATAAGAATAAAATTAGATAGATAGATAGATAGATAGATAGATAGATAGATAGCCAGAAACAGACAAATAGAAACAGGTTGAGATAGATAGATACTGTGATAGATAGTTAAGAACAGAATGAGATAGATAGATAGATAGATAGATAGATAGATAGATAGATAGATAGATATGAACAGTCTGAGATAGATAGATAGATAGATAGATAGATAGATAGATAGATAGATAGATGGAAGTGTCTGTGACAGATAAGAATAAAATAAGATAGATAGATAGATAGATAGATAGATAGATAGATAGATAGATAGATAGATAGATGAATAGCCAGAAACAGACAAATAGAAACAGGTTGATAGATAGATACTGTGATAGATAGTTAAGAACAGAAGAATAGATAGATAGATAGATAGATAGATAGATAGATAGATAGATATGAACAGACTAAGACAGATATGAACAGAGTTAGCCTGTTCATATCTGTCTTAGATAAATAAGCAATGAACGAACTATCTAAGTCTTCATATCTCTCTAAATCTATACAAATCTAAGTCTGTTCTGTCTGTTTATATCTATCTAAACCTGTTCATCTCTATATATCTAAGTTTATTATTTTGGCTTATATCGGATGATTATAATTGTTATTTTTATCCTGATACCAGTCTTAGTACAATCACCAAAGTTAAGCAATGCCGAGCATGGTCAGTACCTCGGTGGGTGGGTTACCGCTTGGGAATACCAGGTGCTGTAAGCTTGGATGTGCGGGTGGTGTAATAGAAAACGATTCGAAATTGAAAATCCGAGAGCGAGGTCCAATTGCAGTCGGATTCATCATATTCGCATACGCGCAACTACTCTTGAGAATGTTATAAACCCACCTCTTCTCCTCCCAGCTATGGGTTAATTAGTAGGACTTACCGCAGTTAATCATTATCATCTCCAATAAATTCTTATGTTCTAAAAATATATTTTCCAATTTTAAATAATCTCTAAAGGGTTGATAAGCAGTAAAAAAAAATCGATCAATTATTGTACTGAGCTCATATTTTTGGTTCGTTTCTACTGAACCAGCATCTGTAGGTTGTACTACGATATACAGGAATTAATTTGATGACCACCAGATGACAACAATCCTTTATTAATCAACACACATATCAACTGAACGTACAGAGGGTACTTGGACGAAAATAAATATATATATATATATATATATATATATATATATATATATAATAATCAAGATGAAAACAATGCTTCCAGAAAATTGGATGAGTGGCAATATTAATAAAGTGTTGATTTTAGAAGATGACGAAAAGCATCAAAATATTGAATTAAAAAAAAATAATACAGTAGAATTCCTCATATCCGGAACCCCTCATATCCGGAACCCCTCATATCCGGAACCCCTCATATCCGGAACCCCTCATATCCGGACATGATTTTGATGTGTATATTTGAACTATTTGGGTGATATGTAACTGATTTGAATTTTCTGTTTTTCAGGAAATTTAGTTTGGATAATTGCTTATACTTATTTCACCCTAATGGCTTGTATTTGTGCAAAAGATGATGGGAATAAGAGGAAAGGATGACAATGAGACACATCTGCAACAAGATAGCGACGAGATGCATGATTGTGATGAAACCTGGACTGAAATTGTAAAAGCTATTGAAAAGGTTATCAGTTTTATGGAAAGAAAGCCAGCATTCAGCTATGACGATTGTAATGACGCATGCAGAGTTAAAAAAAAGTGTCTTTCGTTTGAAACATTTCCAGAACAAAAGCAAAACGAAATGCGGAAAAAGTTGAGAATGACATTAGAAGAGAAAGAATCATGAAACAGTGATTAAAAAATCCTCGTTACATTATTTGTTTTGCATGCGTGGCATATTTAATTTAATGAATTTTCATTAGCATTGCATAATCTATTTCTTTTTCCTTAAAATCAATTCCAGTATATTTCATTCACCGTTAGCTTATTTTGTTTACTATAAAAAACTGAAGATGAATGTTAAAACTGAATTCAGTTCTTTTATTTTAATCTAAATATAACCCCTCATATCCGGACTTTGTAACCATTTCCTCATATCCGGAAGGCCTTCTTAGTCCAGTTGTCAGAGATTCTACTGTATATATATATATATATATATATATATATATATATATAAAGAAATGGGAGTATAATAAAAGATCATTTGTTTTATTTACACAGAGATATAACAATTGTGGGCAGAAATTGTGGAGTGTAGCGTTCAGGTTACATAGTTTAAGTTAATGCTACATAAACGCATCCCTAATTTGCCTAAATCAGATGATAAAGTTAGTTCGTAAGAGAAAATTGCTGAAGTCAAATGCTGAATTTTGATACTGTGAGAGATCCGATAGTAGCTAAAGTAAAATACCTAAAAAAACAGTTGTTATATTTGGGCTGGAGCTAATCAAATCCGTAAATTTCTAGCCTTAAGTGCAAAAGCGTTTACGCCGTCGTGTAGGGAAATGAATTATTTTCGAGTCTACAATTTTGACAAATATTTCTCTATAATTTAATTATTTAGTTGCAAATTAACGTATTTTTCCTTGAGTTGTTATTCGTTTTGAGATTTAGTCACAATGAGAAATTTGATAATTTCTGATCTGTGTTGGAGACTCTCCAATGCAGATCTACGGTCTAAATAAAGATGCTCCAAAAATTAACTAAAAATTTCGATTAGAAATGTGTTGTAGGATTATTATTAATAATAATAATAACAATAATAATAATAATAATAATAATAATAATAATAATAATAAAGAGCAAGTAAATAAAAATACACCTACTGCAGCGGCAAAGAACCTAAAAAAGAAAGTAAAATCAATTGCAATTTACTAAATACAGAAACAATGGCAAGATAAACCACTTCATGGTCAATACTCTGCCTGTACCAAAGAAGTTGGTATAGACAAACCCTGTACTCATCAGTGGTTATGTAGAGCAGGTTTAAATCCTCAAAACGAAAGTTTTGTTGTTGCTGCACAGGACCAATGATTGCAAACTAGAAATTACCAATCACACATACTGACAAATTATGTTAGCCTAAAATACATATTCTGTGATAAATATCCAGAAGCAATTGACCATTTTGTATCCGGTTATACGGGGTTACCACCGACTGAATATAAAATTCGGTTGGGCCAAAATCTGCACTGAAAAATATGCAGCTTTTATGAAACTGTATGAAACTGATATGAACATCACCCAGACTCGATTATAGAGATAGAGCCTGTAACAATTTTATAGGATTTTACAATAAACACAGACGAGAAATTATCAAGCAGACATACTGAAAGATTGTGTTAACCCGATATGCAGATTATACGATGAATATCCAGAAACAATTGACCATCTTGTATCAAGTTGCACGGTATTAACATCAACTGAATAGTAAAACTTGGTATGACGGGGTGGGCGAATATCTGCACTGGAAAATTTGAAACTTTTACGGGAAGGAAACTGCAGCAACTTCGGACGAACACCACCCAGACGCAATTACAAACATAAAATATATAAGAATTTTATGGGACTTGACAATACACACACACACAGAACGATGAAGGCTAATTGCCCACACACAGTGATCTAAGATCACACAGACAGAATGTGCTTTCATATTGACATGGTAGTTCCTGCAAACTCTAATGTTTCTCTGAAGATCTTAAAAATCTATCAAAATGCAACGAACTTGAAGTGGAAATCTAAAAGATGTGGCACATGAAGACATCAATAATTCCGGTTCTGGGTGGAGCCCTCAGATTGTTTGGAAAAGTTTCCGATAGACTCATTAAAATTATACTTGATAGCCAATTTCTTAATAAAAAAACGAAACATTGTTGACAATAACAGCTCACACCTTACGATGGGTTTTATCAATGTAAAATTTGTATGCTCTTAGGTTTTGATGTAATGAATATGCATACACCTGGTTTCGCCCTCACAGTAATATGATTGGCTGGTGTCAGCCATAAATACAGACTGATGTGGAGGTACAAGTAGGACATCTATTGCCTACGCCTCTTGCCTACCACTACGACGAGGACCAGTCCATTAAGGTTACCTGCTAAATTGTCCTACCCGGTTATACTAGTCAACCACTTTGCTACTTCGAATAAATATATCCCTTTCCGGGACATATCAGGTTTAAAAAGTTGAAAATGTCATTAAGCTATTTCCGAACTTAGGTCTTTGGTTGGGACCCGGAAGGAAATTTATATACAACAAAAATCTAAAGAAATAATAATAATAAATGTTCTGATGCTACATTCACTATAAGAATAAGAGCGACCGAAACGATGGCAACAGTTACAGAGGAATCTTCCTGCTGAACATCGCCGAGGTAGGTCTTTGCCCGTCTGGTCCTCGATAAACTGGAGAAACTTGCTGTAAGGATATATCCCGAATCCTAAGCGGGTGTCAGGTTGGAGCGTTCCACGACTGATATGGTCTTCTCCATCCGGCAATTACAGGAGAAATGCCGCTAACAGAGACATGCACTGTACATCGTTTTCATCGACCTCACAAAAGCATTCGATATTGTAAGCAGAGACGGCTTGTTCAAAATACTCGACAGTAGTTCTCGGAGACTTCTCAAGATTGTCCAGTCGTTACATTTGGACATTAAGGGCGTCGATCAGTTTGCTGACACTTATTCAGAGGTTTTCAATATCCGCAGCGGTGTGAAGCATAATTGTATGCTTGCACCTAGCTTATTCTGCGAGATCATGATGAAACGGGCGTTCAGAGCTTCAGCCGACAGCGTCTAAATGTACACAAGAATAGGTGGAAGGCTATTCACTTTGTTTCGGATGAGGGTGAAACCCAAAGACCCGGAGGTACTCATTAGAAACATGAAGTTCGCAGATGACGCAGCCCGGGCAGCAGACTCTGAAGAGCAACTGCAACGACTAATGGACAATTTTTCAAAAGCCTGTCAAGAGTTCAGTCTGAAGAAGGCCCAACGTGATGGGCTAAGACGTCGAACAGTCTCCTGTCATCAAAAACAGTTACTATCTGGACGTGATTCAAGAATTCACATACTTCGGCTCGACAATTTCGGACACCCTCTCCCTAGATATTGAAGTCAACAGACGGATCGGACGAGCAGCCACCATGTTCGCGAGGTTGAACAGTCTATAAGACGTGCGTCGTCGCTGAGCTGCTCTACGGCGGTGATATTTGGAGCCTCTACTGCAGACAGGAGCGATACCTCAGAAACTCAATTTATGTGGCCGGGTCACCAATGCCAGAGTTTTCACCCATGCCTGGTTATCAAGCTTCAACGCCCTTCTCCGTTGGCTTGGAAATTTACACGGCATGTCGGATGGAAAGGTTCTTCTATACAGTGAACGAGTCACTGACAAGATGTCGACCTCATCTTCGCTTCAAGGACGTCTACAAAAGGGACATGAGAGCGATGAACCTGGACCTGGACGTCGAGAGGTAGATTCGT